TTTCAGTGTTGAGGAATATGTATGAGGTATTTCTCTATCACATTATAAATAATAAATTATAGCCAAGGTTACCACTTACCTAGTCGAGTCTTTGGGATAAGTGAAAAATGATATATTTTTATTTGTTCTATTGTTGTTCATACACGCAGTACAATAAACCATATTTACACTTTTTACGTTACAACAAAACACTATTATTCTTTACTTATTTGCTAATATTAATTCAAAACGTGAAACGAAAACATACACAATGTGTGACGTATACGCCCTGATCTTAAGCACTGGCTGAGTCGGTACGGTAGTCGCTAGTGCTCACGCACACACGCGCCTTAAGCTTGTAGTCGTATTAAATCAATACGTGAAACGAAAACAAACACGATGTGTTACATGTACACCCTGAGCTTAAGCACTGGCTGAGTCGGTACGGTAGTTGCCAGTGCTCACCCACACACGTGCCTTAAGCGTATAGTAGTGAACCTATTACAGCCAGCGCGGTTGTATGCATTTTTATTTGTCTTTATCACACACATAATTTTCTTTCACTCACATTTTTAGAGCGCCAAAATAAACGATAAGTAATGACACTCTACTATAATAATAATGTTATTCGTAGGAATTAAAGTTTATAATATAAGTACTAATAACGATCACGTAAATAAAAATATTTACTTTAAATTCCTAATTCCTTGAAATTTGATTCTTTAATTTTTAGTTAACCTATGACCTTGGATGTGCATAGTTGTGAGTTGTGACAAAAAGGTACTTATTGTCTAAGATGTTTTTTTAATACGTCTTTGCCTATTGTTGGATTTTTGTGATTAATAAATACGAATAATTGGATTGTTTTGTTCGTGTTCATAGTGATTACCAACTTATATTTATTATTGCTTATTTAAGTCTTGGTGGTGAACATATTGCTACTGATGTTAGTTTTTTTTTTGACGTGATATGGCTTCATTAGTAAAAAAAATCGAAAACCCGGCAGCTTTTCATGGATTTAGGAGAATAAGGAGCCAAATGTACAATTTGCACGAAAATTTTGTGACAACGAAGTGCAGGCCCCTATAAATTAAAATTAAAATTAAAATCAGCCCATCCCCTCGTACTAGCTGGGATTCAGAGATCGTATGGTTTTATCAAATACAAATAATGTTAATAGTGCTGCTTCTTCACCTATTACACCTGCGATTCCCTCTACGTCTCAAGATCAGTCGTCTTCAGCATGCCCCGAAGGTTCCACACAATGTCGTTGAATTTGCTGGTACTGCATCGTTGACGCCGCAAAGGGCGAACCTCAATTTTTCAAAAAATTACAGGAGAGTAAGAATACATTTAATATTCCCAAATTACTAGCTTTTTTCACCAGAAAATTTAATATAAGTACTAGACTTAATGGAAAACTACAAATGAGATTAATTTTCTAATGAAAAAAAAGTCGGGGAATAATAAATGTTTTCTTACTCTCCTATAATTTTTTGAAAAATTGAGGTTCGCCCTTTGCGGCTTCAACGATGCAGTACCAGCAAATGCCCTACCTGATCGTTCTCCTCCAGTGCGTAATAATCAAATTAATGAATATTTATCAAAACCACTCTCATTAAAGAAAACCGAAACTGTTAATAAGTTGCTCCTTCAAATGATTTTTAAAAATTATTTGCCTTTTACAGGCGTCGAAAGCGATTCATTTAGAGCATTTGTACGAGAGTTGTCTCCGTATGTAGCACCGTCGCGAAAGACGTTATCAAATGCCATGGATGCAAATGGAATGGAATTTCACTGAAAAAGTACTCGTAGTTTCAGTTACAACTGACAATGCCAATAACATTCAAGCCGCCATTTTAATTTTATTATAATTTTATATATTATTTTTATATACATATATTTCATTATAATAAAAATTTCATTATTACGATGGTCCAAACAGGATTCTCAGAAATGAAGGACATACAAAATAAAGTTAAAACCATTGTCGAACTTTTCCAAAGGAGCGTTTTAGCTAGTGAGCGCCTAACGGTCACACAAAAGCAGCTAGGAGAGGAAGTAGTTAAAAATAAAGCAAGACGTGATAACACGATGGAACTCTACGTACGATATGTTCGAGAGGATCTTAGAGATTAAAAACATGTAATATCTACTATTGCCACGGATTATCGCAACACGCCAAATTTGACTCCCGACGGCTTACAAATTTTGTCCAAAAATTGTGATTTATCGAGACATTTTAAATCAGTCAATGAAATAATGAGCGCAGAAAAGTACATTACAAAATCGCAAATCAGTTTTAACGAATTTGCTAAGAAAAAAGTATGAGGCGTTCATCCTTCAAGAAAGTGTTCCCCGAAAAGTTATGGATATGGCAATGCAGTTCATTTCAGATTTACCAACATGGTTTAGAAATGTGGAGGACAATAAATTACTTACAGTAAGTACGCTTGTATACCTACGTTTCAAGACGTATGGTTTCCCTGAAGAGGAGAAACAGCGTTGATAATGCCAATAAAATACTTAACTAATATAGCAACTAAAAGTATAACATAAATTGAAAATAATTTAGAAATTAGTGAAAATCTTTTACAAAATGACATAAAAATAGAAAAACCCAGTATATGAGACGAATTCTATCTTAAAGTTGTAGGCACAGTTAAAAAACAAAACCCGACCGCAGCTGCAATCATAGAAGTAGACAAATATTTCGATGAGCCTCTTATCAGCAGAAAACCAACGACCCTATATTATGGTGTTGCACGAAAAGGCACACATATATGCGTGGATGCATATATGACATACTGAAAAGGCATTTTTGTATTCCAGCTACGTTGACTCCTTCCTAGTTTTTTCAAAGCAGGTCATGTCATTACTGATTAGCTAACCTAACAACATTTTATAGTGACCACATCAATACTAATTTTCTTTATATTTTTCAAATAAATAAATTGACTTGGCAATCGCACTAAACAATCTAATTTAATATAAATATGTATTACTTGAGAGATACATTGTGTTTTCATGCGATGGCCAAGTCAATCTATTTATTTAAAATATAAAATATTTTTAGAATTGATGTGGTCACTATAAGATGTTGTTAGGTTAGCTAATTACGTAATAACTTAAGACAGAAGGACCTTTAAGTAGGGACTGAATAAATTAACCGACTTTGTATTACATGGATCTCACTACTTTTTACGGTAGAAGGACTGAGCGAGACTTGGTTTTTTTTTATCAGTTAAAGTTTTTGATGGCATCTCATTTCTTTTTGTAGATAGTTATATCTAGGTACCTATCTACATCTATTATTCCATTATATTATACATATATAGGTACACTGATTCATTCACTGCAAATGTAACTTTGTAATCCTTTATATTTATATGGGATTACAAAGTTATTTATGCAGTTGGTGTATCTCCAAAACTGGACCGAAATCGCAAAATATTTTAGTTTTTCTTGGATTTATATACTAAACAATATTTGTAATCCAAATTTGAAGCTTCTATGTCTACTAGAAGTGCCTTAGAGTTTTGATGATCGGTCAGTGAGTGAGTTACAAAATTAAGAAATTTTGACTAGTTATAATTCTTACACTACTGGTTCAAATTTAATGTAATTTCAAATATACCGAATTTATACAATACCTACTTGGTTACTGAAAATTCAGGTTTCTAGTTTTATCCACAACGAAGTTATAAGATTTCGAAAATGGCCTCAAATACTTCGAGAAAAGGACGGTACGGCCGTGCCGCTATTTTGCTGGACTTGGCGGGGGCCATATATGTAATATAAGAAGGCGGAGGCACTGCCGTGCCCCCAGATTTCTCGTAGGATTGGTACACACGACCTCAGCTGCACTTACGCTCGAGCAACTAGACTAATTTAAAGAAGTTAATAATGTTGAAATTACAAATTATACTCAACAATGCAACTCACGTTTGTTGTTATGGACATAAAAATACCAAGTAAACACACATATACACACAGCATACAAATATTCCATCATTATATAAATAAACAATTACATTTGTATTTAATTTAAATACCTAAGAAAATAAATTACGTTCATGTAATAAAATCTTACACATTTAATATAATATAATAATACGAGTATTACTTTTGCTTTATAATAAATATTTTTCAATAGAGCCATTCTTGTATTTATGTATTACCTAGTATACTTTTTGGGTCTTCAGTCATTCGTCATTCCCTTACCTCATTTCACAAAGTACCTTTATTTGTACAAAGCATGCGTAAGCATCATATTAGTCTGTGTAGAAACCTTATCTATGCTTACTCGCTCACGACGCTCGCGTGCAGCGTGCACATATTATATGTAATTTAAGTGAGGTCGTGAACGAGTGAGGTGGTTCAATAACGAAATTCGAGTATCTCTTTCAATTCGCCTTCACGAGGACCTTAAATGAGGTACCTAACTCACGAGTGAGGGACACATCACTATTATTTACACACCTCGATAAATTCCCACTCATGCTAATAGCACATGAGCAAAGAGTATACGTATATACAGGATTAAAGAAATAAAGAATACATGTAAAGAAACCGAACAGAAACAAAGCTTCTAAAGAGCGAGCAAATTTTTTACCTATTTTAGTAGGGTTGGCACAGAAGGACAATTTTAAATAAACAAAACGTTTAACAGTTATTTAATATGTATCTATCTATAATAGAATATAATTTTTTTAAATTACTCTAAATATATATTTTCATATTTTTTGTTTTTCAATATTTTGTGCGTTTTAATTAAAAGACAAATTTTCAATGTAATATAAAGTTTTTTTTTAAATAATCTAATAGAAATAACTCGCATATTATACAATCTAACACACGTTTTAATGTATCATTATCAATATTAACAATGTTTATATCGAAATCAAAATATTTGCGTAATTTATACAGTGTAGTACACTCTTCTTATTAAAAAAAGGATCATACAGTAAAATAAAGGTAGGTACTTACTTAAAGTAGATAATAATCAAATATATACTTACCTATTGTACTCCTTGGGGTAGTTAAAGTATGATATATTTTTATTTTTTCTAGTATTATTCATACACGCAGTACAATAAACAACCATTATTAATAATACCACGTTTTTACAATAAAATATTCAAACTTGCAAATAACGAAACAAACAACGTGCGTCTCACTGACCCTGAGATTGTCCACTGGCCCACAGACTGTGCCAGCGTAACCGGTTTTTTCCAGTCTCGCCGCATACGCGACAAGCGTTCAGTGGTCACGCAAACATGTCCCGCGTGCTTGTAGTAGTGCAACCGATTCACGCGGTTGTATAAAGCTTTATCTCTGTTCCCTTTTTATCTACTCATACTCATGTGCTGATGCTGATACGTCCTCTAGCGTTCGGAGGCGATACATTGATTAGTCCTTTAATTCAATGCTTCATATTTATAAATTACCAAATAAGTTGGTTACATTTAAGTGGTGTTAAATGTCTTCGTCGTCTATTTTCACGTTGTCAATTTTCTGTATTATCAGTATTAACTCTCTAATAATATATAAATAATTATGCTTCTAATGACGACTCTAAATTTTGTTCTCATAAAAAAAACTACTATTATTTTTAATTATAGAACGTTTTCATCATGTTTTATCTTGCATTTAACGGGATCGACTTGATGTAAAAAAAATGTTGTTAAAGAATAGGAGATGAAACATCGATATATTGTTACATTTCGGAAAGAAAGCAACAGTCTTCTTTATGAGTGTTAGAAGGCGACGGCAAACCATCAGTAAACCAACAAAATTGAGTCAGGCAAGAAGCGTGAGCAAAAAAATTTTGTGTTTTCTTCTTCCACACGGTCCTGTCTGCACGATCTAACTTGATGAATAGAACTGTTAACTGTTAAACCTTTCACCACAGAATAAATAATAGTACTAACGTGCTTTCACTTGCCCAGTGTCTTTGAAAAAGTTATAGAAAAGCGACCAAGAAGTTGCATCCTATTGCACTGTTACAATACCTCTGCGCACACTGAGAACAACACAGTAATGTTTGGCTTTTGAAAATGGTGGAGCTCGTGACCCATCCCGCACACAGTTCAGACCTCCGAGAATCGTATGATGCGCGATTTCTTTATTTACCCGAACATCAAATATTTGATGAGAGGTTTAACAATTACGGAACCAGAAGACGCCGTGATAGCTTTCAACCAGCACGTGAAAAACATGCCCTCAAACCTATGGTCCATATGTTTTTAAATGATTTGAAAGAATGAAAAATTGAAATAATGAATGAAAAATGTAGGTATTTAATGGAGAATACTTTGAAAAACATTTAATATATTAGTTTACATATAAATAATCGTTTCATGTATGAATCCAATTTTTAAAACAAAATATCTGCATTAGTAATTTATGACCGTATCTTCTTCATCACCTGTAAAACTCCACTGCTGGACCAATTATATGCAAATCCTCCACCTTAATCGCTTTTGGGAGGCAGATTGGCGACCGCATTACCAGGACATCACGCGCGTTTGACGTTCCTCCCCGTTTCCGGTCAAGGTATTTTAGTTCTGAAGTAGACAAGATGGTTATATGTACAGGAACAGGAAGGAATGAGATCTATCATTTGTCATAGTCGCTTCTAATTGCCTCACGCGAAAATGGGGTGATGTATAGGGTATCTATGTACATATGCCGCTACAACCCAGTAGATATTCATGTTTAAATTCTTTAAATTAAAGACACGATTTGTACAAATTAATAAAACAACTATTTAATGCCCAAATCACACGCAAAAACGTTCTATAATAAAAAAAAAACTAGTATTTGTCTATGAGAACAAAATTTAATAAGAGTCATCATTAGAAGCATAATATAAATGTTAAATGCATAATGCAACATGTTACCGTTACCTTGACCCGTGCCTAGTTACTTCCCATAGGTACCACAGATGGTTGAATGGCGAGATCCATCGTTCCTAAGAAATATGGTCCTCTACATCTGGTGTCACAATTCACGTGGTGACCTCGCACCATTTGTGTCAGATCATATGATAGAGCAAACTAATAAGCAGATCTATCCCGGGTAAATAGTGTCTGTCTGATTAATAGGGGCTAACTAACGTTATTGCCGTTTTCGACCTTCTAGCATATCGTCCGTGAACTTCGGAGATCTCCTCTCAAATTTTACAGGAGGACCATAAAACTGATTTATTTCCTTTTCACGATGTATTTTTTATAAAACAAAAAAAGTAGTTGGTCGGTTTTTATGTCATTTTATTAATTATAATTAAATAAAGTAAGTACTGTTGTTTTTTTATAGTTAGGAGTTTTAAGTTTTCGAATTCAATACAAAAGCCAGATAGGAGATATTTCCGTTAGTTACTTAGGAGAAATCAATCCCCAAACTGTGCAACTAACTTAAATTTTGAACTAAGCAAGAACAACAAAATACAGAAATATAATATTTATTTATGTTGCTAAAGGAAAAAAATGTTACAAAATCACAATCAGATATTAATAATAATATGAGAAACAAAACTTAAACAACTTGAACAGTCTTGAAAAAGGTTGCTTTAAAAATTAATTAACATTCTTAAAATTATTTAAAATCTTTGAGGTTTTTATAAAACTTAAAATAATCTTAGCAAGTAATTCGCATCATTTATCCAGCATGTTAGATCATATTTTTAATACTAAGGTAACATTAGGAATGTTAATGTTCATTATGAGGCAAACTGTCGTAAAAGGAATGACAGTCCAATGGGATAGATAACAGACTTCAGCTCCTGTAAATGTTTCTATTTTTGGTATGTGATGGGTATTCTATTCCTATGCAGGGGTGCGTACTCTCCTATGATGGCAATTTTATCAACCCTTTGAGGGAGGCTATCCCAATCGGAGTCAAAGTCCAATTTAATTTTAATCAGGCCTGTGTTGTCATAAAAAATAGCCTTTATATCAGTAACTTTTGGATCTCCAGCTTTGCGTCCCGGTCGGATTGAAGTGTAGCGCCATGTTTCAAGAGCCGAAAAGTTTCTGAAAAATGTATAGGCTACCATTACAGTTTCGTACTCACAAGGATTTTTGCGAGCTTCTTTGGTAACCGACTGGTAATCACTTGGTAAGTGGATTAACCTATTTTTCAATTTGCTTTCTATAGCGCTATGTACACAATCTCCTTCCATGTGCGTGTGTCCGACTTCAAGATATTTTTGTATTATAGCCACTTCACGTTGCATGGAGAAATTTAATAAAGCATTCGATAATATTTTGTTTCGGTTCTGACTGGTGCAGCCCTCTGAGTATATCATTATGGGTAGATGTTGTGGAATGCTATGGCGGGTCAAATAATTAATAACAAACGACGCATAAGTAGACGCTGATAGATCACCTTCCGTTTCTGCAAACCAGTAACTCTCATGTGATGCTAAGTCATAAATGGTAAAATTATGTACACATAATTTTGTTTTATAGTAAACAGCACTAACTGTGATAAACGGACACACTTTAACCGATTGTAAGTCCATTGTTAAAACTATGCAGTTTCCCTTGATCACCTCGCTTTTATCCTTAGATTTTTCTTCACAAGCTCGATTTTTTCTTCTTAGATGTGTTTGGTAGTCATTTTCGCTTACATTACCGCTCTGATGACCTGCACAAACATCACACATGTCCTTCAGTGTCCAGTTTGATTGAATTTATTTCTAGCGTACGGATCTGCATTTTTTTTTCTGAGCAGTATTGTTTATAAGTATGGTATAAGTGAGTGGCGTTGCGATAAATTGGTTCCAAGTAGACTTTGGTAGTGTTATGACGGTTGTAATACGTCGGCATTTTAGGTAATGCATTCAAAAAGTTATCGAGAATGTCAAGTCTTTGAGAATGTTGCGCTTTAGGACGACGGTTACGATTATTATTTTTTTCGGATAGATGCATGACACTTGTTCCAATACACAAAGTATATCCAATAAACATTTCACGGCACACACGCTTCTTAGTTGCGGTTCCATCTGCAGAATTAGTCACTAGAAGAAAATAAACGGAAGTACCAGCTCTTCTCGAATTTATTGATGTCCGCCTACCGTTTCCCTGAAAAGTTACGTTGTTAGCAACATACACTTTTCGTTGATGCCAGTCCACGTTGCTCCAGAATTGTCGAAATATCTTCTCTCTGTCCTTAAATCTGAATTGCATCTAGGGCCAAGAACCCTTTTGTTTCGAATTTGGCTTTGTACTTTCTCACCCTTTGGTCTTCTGTAACCGACATACTCTTTCCCCTCCATCCTTAAGCGTTTAGTAATACTGAGCTAGTCTCTGTCTACGTCGGCCTTCAAACATATCTCCAAAGTGAACTACCTCTTCGTTCGTTTCCAGAGTCTCTTCATTTGGAGGAATATTTTCTGAATCCGAACTTAAAGCACCACGATCATTGGGTGGTTCGTAATCGCTATCGTCATCAGGCGAAAAGTCCTCACAAGCATCTCGCCCAGGTGGTGGTAAAGTTGTCCACGGAGACGGTGTTTCTAATAGCGACGGTGAGTCAAGCGCCACTAGGTCTTCTAATTGAATGAGGTTGCCTGCAGTTAGTAAAATTTCCCCTAACTGAGATTCAATCCCTTCAAAAGAATTTGGTTCTGTTAGGACATTCTCTAACAAAACAGAAACAGGTGTATGGGACGTGGATGCCATATTCTCTGGTTCAGTTGGATTGCAAATTATATTAACGAGTGCATATGCCCTGTTTCTTGATGCCATTATGACAAAATCTGAAATAAATAAGTTATCTTTTAACTACACAAAACACCAAATAATTTATGATCGTACGTACTCCTCAGAGAGTTTAAAATATCGTAGATATTTAAGAAGGTAAAACTAAGTATTAAACTCTTAAGAAATTTCTTCTAACTGCATTGATTGCAAACATTACTTACCAAATTGAAGTAAAAAGTGTTCAAAGAAATTACTCCTATCTGACAAAATTACTTTAACCTAAAATAAATCATAGCTAATAATAATATACGTACCTATTTTATGAAACAAAATCAGTGAAACACTTTCAGTTAGCTATAACACTAATGTAAATACCAACGAAGTGATAAAAACACCA